CCCCCCCCCCCCCCCCCCACAATCTCGACCTTTTCAATTCGATGTTCCTCCTCCCATCTGTGAAGCCTGAAGTCAGCTCCAGGGCTAATGATAACTATCAAAACGCCTGCCCTACGCTGACTATCGCAATTGAAGTTTTCAATCCCCATTTTCCTTTTCAAAATTTTAACCTATGAGAATTAAGCTCCTACTTCCAGGGAGAGTGAAGTCAAATCAAAGTAATTCTTTTGCAAATGAAAAATGAAAGCATTTTAGGTTTTTTAATGCTTGAAATATAGAGGACTTACCAAGAGAGCAGTGGATTTCCAGTAGAATCCTCGCATAGTCTTGTAGATACGACCGGAGAAATAACCGGCAACAGCTCCCATGAAGACATAAGTGAATATAACAGCACTAAGGAGGGCACCACGAGAGGCTGGGGAGAGCATTCCCAGCATTGCGAAAACTACCAATAATAAGAGGGAAAGAGAAGATAAATGAGCTTTATTATTATTATTATCATTATATCAAATGCCAGGCGTTTTGATTGTTATCATTAGCCCTTTAGTTGACTTCGGTCTTCACAGAGGGGAAGGAACATCAAAGTGTACAAAATTCAAGAGGGTGCACCACGTGGAGGTAAGTCTATTACACGCCCCAGATAAATGAGCTAATCGTGATTAAACTACAAAAAGAAGGCAATTAGATAGAAACACGGCAGTGGCTTGTACAGCCGCAGAAGTTAATGAGACAGCAAGCAAGCTTTGACACGATTGTTTTGGAGTTGCATCATGTGACATTTATTTACAAAACTCCCAAAAAAATCAAAATACACGGGGGAAGGGGAAAGCGCTTTCAAGAAATTTCCAATAAATGCAATATTTCGTGCCCTGAGAAATAAATTAGCATTGACGTCTTTAGAAATCGATAAAGACTAAAGCCTATTAAGTTTAACTTAGTGATTACAATATTATTGAGGTTCATGTTGGCCAAAAATAAAAATAACGGCAACGATATTCAAGGGTTGATTGGGGGGGGGGGGGGGAGTGACGTATGGACACAGAGGAAAATAAAAAATTTAATTTGATGTTATTTGCTGGGCTACGCGTTAGACTTACCACCACAAGGAGTAACCTGGGCAACGTATACTCATGCGGCAAAAAAGTCTACAAAGCGGCATTTGACTTCTGACTCCAAACTACCACGACCCGACAATTGTCATATTCGACCACTTCCATAGCACTCACCTTACCTTTTTCTCTACCTTTGTGTCTATCTCTTTTGCAAATATGAATCACTCTTCCGTTCCCCACTCCACTCGACTTTTGGGGATAGAGTACATGTGACCAATTACACCGCCTATTTCACATTCAAAAGGGTGATAATAAAAACTGGGAAATATATAAAGAGGATATATATAGTTTGCGAAGCGAGCAATAAAAATACACAAATCATCCAGTTAGGTACAAGAAGAGTAATAGAAACATTTGCCTAAGTGAAGCAACGAATCTATCTAGATCGAAAGGAGATAATGAGCCCTGAATCTGCAATTAAGAAGGCACTAGAAAGAATACTTTTCTATAAAATTGCTTTTACAGAGTTTCATTAAAATACATACTTTGTCAAAATGGGACGATAGGGGATTCAAATTAGATCTGACTTCTGAACCCCATGATTACAGAATACGCAAGCTTACATTTATATGGAAAAGATATTCGGTGTAATTTTTACTCAAGGCGCTTCAAAGCTAAGACACTCTCAAGACATGACATTTTTCAGGGGTAAAGAAGACGTCCATCCCTACTTGAGATCAAAAAGAAATCTTTCGACTATGATGAGTCCGAAACCCTAAAATTGTACTTCCTTCTTTCTTTCCTCACTATAACTGATATTTGAGTAGTGCACTACGTTGACGTAGCCGTACCGATAAATCTCAGGAGCACTCAGACTGACTCGAAGATGCGACAGTGCTACATGTCTTATAGGGAGCAAATGCGATCGTAAGCGCAGAGACCTCTCAGCTAGCAGTCAATCGATAAAACCTGAATGGATTAATAAACTCATTGTTGTATTTTAATGACTAAGCACTGTGACAAACACAGGGCCCAAATAGACGTGTTTTAAGTCATGCCTCTGTTTCCTCTATAGCTACGCGGTAGCTTAGCCAATCCTTGGAGCCATTCCAAACTAGCGGATTTTGCCGTGGAGAATAAGTTAAGGTCCATTGGTGTAGCAATCCGTTACGTATTGAAAGTCAAAATTCATTTGTTCTAAATTCGAAAACAAAATTGTATTAGATAAAATGGGGTGTGCGATAGACTTACCTCCACGTGGTGCACCCCGGGCAACGTATATTCATACAGCAAAAAAGTCTATTAACCAGCAGTTGACTTCTGACTTTAAACTGCCATGACCCCACTGTATGTCATATTCGACGACTTCAACAGTACTCACCTCACCTCTTTTCTACCTTTGTGTCTGTCTCTATTACATCTTTGAAACACTCCTCTGTCCCCTCCCCCTCTCGAATTTTTTTTACTTTGATGTTCCTTTCCTTCTATGAAGCCTAAATTCAACTAAAGGGCTTATGATAACTATCAAAACTCCTGCCATTTGAAATAAATAAATATTAGATAAAATCGGCCTAGTACTAACCTCAAAAGTTGTTAAAGATCGGTTTTTTTTGTCAAATTGTTTAATAAATTAGGCCAAGTGGAAATAAATTTAGTAAATAGTGAAATCGCCCTAATAATACGAATAAACGTAACTGCCAAGAAAATGCTAACATATAGATAAAACAGATAGGCATCCAACCATTTTACCCACCATTATTGAAAATAATGCCTTCGTTTACATTAAGTGGGGAAAAATATGCATTACTTTAAGCTACGTTCGAACTGAACCGTAACATGATTCCATGAAAACGATGAGAACTCAAGTTTGCAATTTTCCGGCCTCAATGGTGGCTTGTAGATCGGTGTAATTAACAATTGAAAAGTTCTATCAAGAAATACAATTCAAAAAATTCAAATTAAAAACTGCCAAAATCTGGTGGCCCGATTTGCGTAACAAACAGTCAATCTTCATCAAATACTAGCAAGAATTAGTAATAATTTAAATCTAGACGAATAAATGAAGGATACGAGAGGGATTCAAGTGTGTATTGGCAACCACTTCTCTTAAGAGTTCATATTCAATGCTTAAAAATAAAGTATTAGGTTGGCAACTAAGTCATTGCCGATTTCAAATAAGAAGGCAAATTGGGAATTTTTGTTTAAAAATATAACTTCACTCAATTAGACATTGGCCCCTTCTTGTCGATGACCTTTTTCCATCCTTCTGGCAGAGTAAAAATTCCCCGTTCGTAAAATGTCTGGTCTTTGCTATTAAAAAACTGAACTAGGTGTGATCCGACATCATCCGCGTTGTTACAAATTTTACCATTTAAAGAGTTTTGCATGGAACGAAACAAATGGTAATCCGAAGGCGCAAGGTCAGGGCTATATGGTGGGTGTGACAAAACATCACAACCCAGTTCCAATAACTTTTGCCGAGTAACCAAAGATGTGTGGGGCCTTGCGTTATCATGATGGAAACAACACCCTTCCGATTTGATAATGCCGGCCGCTTATCTTCAATTGCATCCTTCAGTTTTTCCAGTTCTTCAACATACACATTTGAATTTATTGATTGGTTCTGCGGCATGAGTTCAAAATACAAAATTCCTTTGTCATCCCACCACACTGACAGCATAATCTTTTTTTGGTGAATCTCTGCTTTTCATACTGTTTGGGCTGGTTCATCTTGCTTCACCCATGATCTCTTGCAAGTAACATTGTTATAAACTATCCACTTTTCGTCGCCAGTAACTAGGTTCTTCACAAATGGATCATTCTCATTGCGTTTCAGTAGCAGCGAATCACAGATGCTAATCCGTTGCGTCAAATGAATTTCCTTTAACTGGTGAGGGATCCATAAATCAAGTTTCTTGACATAACCAAGGGTTTTTCATTTTTTTTCAATGCATGTATGCGACACATTGAGCTTCTCTGCAATATCTCGTGTTGTGCTGTGACCATTTGAATCGATAATGGCCTTGATATGGGTTTCATCCACTTCGACTGGGCGGTCAGATCGTTGTGAATTTTTCAGTGAAAAATCACCGGAACGAAATCTTTCAAACCAATTTCGACACTGCCTTTCTTCCTCACGGCTTCATCACCATATACGCCACATAACTTCTTTTGTGCTTGCGATGCGTTCTTGCCTTTTCGGAAGTAATACAATAAGATGTGTCGGAAGCGCACGTCCTGTTCATTCATTTTTAAATTGGGATAAAAACAAAACTAAAGAACTAAACAAACAAATTTTTTACTAATTAACCTAGAAGCCCATACAGTAAGAAAAAAAATATAGGTTAGATGCTCTGGCCCCGTTAACAAAACAAAAGAAAGTATAGAGTGAATCCGTCAACAAAAACGGCAATGACGTAGTTGCCAACTCAATAATATACATAGTATTGGTAATAATAGTCATATAGGCAATAAATAGCAATCATTAGCAGTGGTGGGTTGTAAAAGTCTGCTAAAAGTTCAACATAGGCTGCCAACTGGAAGTCACCATCGTAATTTCCAATAACGTAATCACACCAAGAAGAGGAATCGACAGTGATTGGTGCGAATACTGCGTTGGGTGGGCACGTAAGATAAGGAGATAAAAGCTCAGTTTGCAAGGAAATAGAGAATTGAGCGAAGTGATTGGTGGATAGATAGCAAACTAGTGGGTATAACCTGCTCCAATGGCCCCATTAAAAACATGGCTACGTAATTCCGCCCTCCCCCTTACCCGCGCGATGAGTCATTCCTAGGTGGTTAAATATTTCGTTAAATATTTCACGCCACAACTAAAAGGCCTTCTTCCTTCCATGACTTACTGATATCTCATACTACTAATTCAAGATACAATATATTTGAACCAATGAAAATCATTTAACCTTGGATCAAAAAAATAGTACAAGAATGAGCTTTCCAAAAAAAACGATAGTGATAACAAAGCAGTTAAACGCATGACCAAATATGACGATGAGGATTCTGAAAGCACCCTACAATTACATTCATGCAAATTAGCATGTCAACCACGAATGAGCAGATTTTTTTAAAATGTGAATGCAATTTTAGAAGCACTTCAGTTCCTCATCCAAACAGAATAATGCTAGAGAAAAAAACGATAGGAACATAGTAAACTCACACAACACAATAAAGGTCATGCAAAGAAGTTGCACTCCAGAGCCCACGAATGCTGCCAGCAGAGCACTGCGCCGAGGGGGTCTAAAAACATCCCCATGAACAAGTTTCCATCCCGACTCTTCGATTATTTCCTCCTTAAAAAAAGCAATTATAATTCTTAACAAAAAATCAGTCCTACTGAATCCTCTTCACGATTATATGAAGCGATATCCCGTCTCAAGGTCTTCAGCAACACAACAGCCATAACAGCTATGAAAAATAGGCAATTACAAATAGAAAGTGAAACCCACCAGTTAGGAAAATAATGACAATGATTGAATTAATGATAGAGAACCAGTGAATTTGTCCATCTCCAGTGTTCAAATAAACATCCCAACGAGAGGCCCAATCGATTTCTGAACTGACCCATTCAACTTCGTAGGTGTATGGGAACTGAATTGGAGTATCCATTTTGAGAACCATAGGGCCCCTTTGATCAGATTTGATCTCACAAGTCCCGTCCGATTGAATGCTGAGACTTTCACGATTGATGCTCATTGGAACAACGGTAACACCAACAACACGATATCGATTACTGATGTGGGAGCGAATGAGAAATTTGAGTTTGACTTACTTGAGTCCATGATATTTGATTGAGAATTTCAGATGATTATTTAAATAAATCTCATTGTCACTAATTGCACCCACTTTATACCCAATTTCAAGGTGAGAATGACCTCCGATTGAACGTTCGACTGCTACCGGTAAATCATCCACGTCACTAATGGAAATGCCGACGTTAAAAACTAAAAAAACTCACAGATTAACCATATAGTCATTGGCAATAAGACGGATTAGCTCGTTAACTTTTTCAGCATCCAATTGTATTGTTTTGCAAGCTGATAGACATTTAACAGACTTAAGCATATTGATCTTAAAAGGGGCTCCGACAAGTCGGTCACCCCGCAAAACTTCACCTGAAAATAGATACTAGTCAGATCAAAATATAAAAATACCAATATTGAGATTTTCATAAGAATGCTTTCCCTTCAGGTCACAGAAAGATAAATATTTATAAAAATCAATCGGGAGTTGTGTGTCCGAACTCCAAACTTTTACTGCCTAAAAATATTATATAATAATATTATAAACTACCTTGACGCTTATTTCATCTCCGATGTCGTATTCTACTGGTGATAATCCAGGAACGTAGAAACAAAAAGAGAGACGAAACAAAATTGACAACAATACAATGGATACTTTCATGACTGCACAAAACAGGCTGAAAGCGCCGTAATTGCGTTTCGACCAATAATTAAACAGCTTAGCATCAACATCACAACTAACACTGAATATTCTATAAAATAATTTGAAATATGAAAATAAAATAAGTTGAAATCTTTATTTAATATTTAGATGGCATGAGAAATACACTGTAAACTTAAAGGCACAACTACTTATGATTTACTGTTCTTTATTCATGCCAATTCGGGCGCTGAAGCTTTACGCGCAGATTCAAAATACTCTGATAACCTTTTGTTATTCGTCTTTTTGTTGTTCATCTCACAGAGAAACTATTATTAGTTGATTTTATATTGGAGTTAAACTAATGGATTCATTTTTGGATACCTCGACTGTTTGTCTCTCACCCCATGTGCGAAATATCGCTTACGTCGTTTATTCTGAATTTGAGAGCCTAGTATCGAAATATGGCCAGGGTGTTGTTGATGGGATTGTACCGATTATGATTCGAACGCTAGAACAAGTTGACCTTCTACATAAAAGCAATGAGATTTTGCAAAATACAAATGACCAAAATGAGAAGGAAATCTATTCGCTAACCTCTAGATTGGAGAAGGAAATCAAATCTAGGCGATTAGCAGAAGAGGTAATTTATGTTATTCTCTAGTTTTATTTCCTAGAAAATAATTGCTTTGGAGGATGAAATGTCTGAAATGCGTGTCAAGATGGACAACAAATTGGCAGATTTCACTAAACTGGCACATATTTTTGAAGCTAAGCTTGATGCAGCGAATGAACACAGTTAGTTCTTACCATGGTTATAATTGAAATGCACAACTTTATTATTTTTTGTACGTTTTCTTTTATTTGAAAAATTAATGTTTTGATAATTTTGGATGTCGATATAATAATGGGCATGTTGTCGCATGGCTTTTAGCTCTTGCTGTGGACGATAGCGTGGTTTGTGGGCCCCAGGGATTGATTTTTAATGACTGTTTATTATTTTATTTATATTTGAAGATAATTTATGTTTGAATGCTTATTTAACCCAACTACCGAGTTTCCTCTTGTGTCTATTGTGATTGTCTTAACTAATACTTCTTTTGTAAATCGGTATTCGCTTTTCCTTAGTCTTTCATTGAAATTTTCACATTATAAACTTGATAAAATTAATAAAATGTGGCAAATTTTGGTGTTTGTCAATGCTTTAATATCTTCATTTCCTATTTCATTGGGATATTCATAGTTAATGATTGCATAATAATATGTGGTGTTTTATTTGAAAAAAAAAAATGAAAAAACAATGTCAAAATTTCGTTTTAGTTGCTCGACAAGAGGCGAAGGAGGCGGAGTTACGAAGTGACCTGGCTAGTGCTCAAGCGCGTTGCAATGAACTCCTTTGCTCCCATGTGGCTCATATGGAGCGTACTAGAAATCGAATTCACAATCTTACTCTGGAAAAGCTGTCGTCTCCTTCTTCTGGAATTACCCAATTAATACCTCGCGTGTGTTTTTTACTAGTATTTACTTATCAATTTTGTCTAACCCCCTTGTCATTTTTCCTGTAAGTAGCATAGATTTAATTTTCCCCGTTATCGCTGTTAAATTGGGTGATTTACAAATGACTTTCGCCTACTTTTTTTCTCACATTACTTTTCAATCTTAATGAATTACAGCTCGTGGCGATTGTGAATTGTGCGAGTTTGATCCGACCAACGTTAACTCACGACATCTAACTTCTCTTAAACATGTTTCGAATGTCTTTGCTAGTTCTTTTTTCTTAGGTGCACTTTTGGAACAAGATGATCTGCTATAGCATGTGGTACACCTGTTGCAGTCATGTGTAGTTAATCACTTAACCGATTTTGGTAACGTTGAGGATAAAAATTTTGTTCCCATGAAATATGTGTGCTGGATGAATGGATTGGATCAGAATCTGATTTCTACTGCGTCTTCGGTTTCCATTGGTAATCTCAATGGACTTGTTTATGGAAAGATTTATTCACCGAGATGAATTTTTCCTTCTTTTTACAATACACGGCGCATAAGAGTTATTGCATTGTGTGCTTTGTATATATCTCAATTTGAGTCATTAAGCTTTGAGTCTTTTGATCACTTTAAATTAAAAATAAAGCGTAACTTTAATATTTCCTTGCAGTTGGTTGGTTTTAATACAATAGGAAACATTTTTTGCTCTACTTGTCAAAATTTATTCGTCGTATTCGTGTTTGTGGCATTTAAGTGGATTTAGAATATTAAAATTTAAATAAACAATATCCATATATGTGTGAAGCACGAAGTCAACTAAAGGGGTAATGATACCTGCCATTTGAAATAAATAAATAAATAAACAATATCCATATATCTATTTCTGCTGATGATACAAAAATGAGCTCATTAGCGATTCGTAAAAATTCACCTAAAAGTCTAACTATCTCCAAACAACTACAGCTTGTTTCCAGCTGTTTAATTTTGTCCCCCAGTAGCGAGAACACAAAGGATCTGGTGATTAGGGCGTGTTTACTAAAGAAATTGGTTATTGTGCTTACCAATAAAATAGGTTGTACGAATATTGATCGCCGAGTGACCCCTGCGTGCAATCAGCATACGAGCGCGCTTTCCGGAATGTTCTAGAGCACTCGAGGTTCTTTAGGACAGCTCTGACAGTGCTATGCACCTAGCATTATCCTGCATTTTGGTCTAATTAAAGAGGGGTACTTTGAGAGCCCCTCTTAAGATACAAGTATTTTAGTTTTAGATTGAGACTTTTCCTTCAAATTACTACTTATTTACACATATTTTAGGCATCAGAAGTGGGCTTGTTGGATATTAAAGAGGTACACCGGAAGAACTTCAGCCAACGTAAGCAAGTTTCATTTGTGTGTCTAAATGTATTTACCAAGTTAAACAGGAATTATAGCTTGATTAATAATCGAGGCTGGCATTCGTAGTTGGCCCTATTGGCTTAAATTCTATTCCCTGAAATCGTTGCATCATAATTATAATTTATATATGCTTTTACTTTGTAGCTCTTTTGGAGGAGCCTATAGTCTTGCAACCAGTAGCGAGTAAATTTTTTGCTTATCCTTGGTGTTTATTCGGTAGTATCCGCGGAACTAAGCCTTTCATATTGACTTGTAGGCTCACCCCCTTCAGTGAGTCGGACCTCTGAAGGCGAATTACTTGATGTATTAGATGAACCGTAAGTTTATCTTTATTTGTTTTTAAAGTAGGAGGCATTGGTTACCGACATGATATGGTAAAGTAATCTTTAAAGGCTTCACATAGTGGATTTTATGGCCCACACTTTTCACCCTTATTAAGCTATATTACAACCCAGATCCCAAGATTAGATTGAAATAGGAATGCGACCTGCAGGTCAAACAGCGGATCTCATTAGGAAAATAAATATTTCTTTTTATATTATTAAAAATAAGCCTCCGCGAAGGTCTTGTGTATTCACGTACACACGTAGAAATCCAACGAACTAGAATGTAATGCCTCGACCATTGCGCCTGTCATTCTCATTCGAGTGGACCAAAGGTAATTAGATTTGGCCTTCTAGCGTTGAAGGCGTACTGAAAGAAATACGGTTCATAGAGGGGGGGGGGGGGGGGGGGGAGGGGGGACTTTGAAGGCATCAAATTTATAGACTACAAGTTAAAGAAATGCATGAGTCTACTATCACCCATGTTCTGTCAATATCCAGTGACTCATTATGAAAACTAGCCGTTGAGAATTGTTGTTGCCGATTCCCTTAATAGCGATAGGCTTGTAGGCTTTTGATTGACATCCGTGCTTCTATCTCAAACGGATATTCGTTTTTTGTGCTTCATACAGAACAGACTATGAGCAGTACTTGAACGAGCCAACTTCAACTAGAGTGGTGTCAGATGAATCGGATGATATCTCTAAAGGTTTGTTCCTTGCTTGCAGCTGTGTTCTGGCTTGTTGTGTAAATTTTTACCTACTTTCATGTCATTTGTGATTAGTTATATGAATGCAACTTCTGTGTGGGATGTCTTATTGCATTGCGTTCTTATTTACCAACTTTTGTCTGATAATGAAAGGTTAGACAGGCTCTCTGCTTGTAAGAGAAACTATTATTTGATTTAATGGCTTGCGCTTGTCATTCACTCTTTCCTTACCAAGTGTCTTCAATTCCTTGCCTGGAAGGCATTCTGCGTTGAGAGGAGGGTGGAAATGATAAACCTCTTTTCATTAGCCTGGATGATATCCATCATAGCAACTTCATTCGCTTGTAAAAAATCTTTTTCCACTACTCTGCTTTGAAGTTTTTTTCTCGATCTTTTTCTCTCTCTCTTTTTTACGTTCTTCCCTTGTCATTAACCGAAAAATGACAATTTCTGTTCCAAGTGAACATGTTGATCTCATTGTTTTAAATTTGATGCTATTTAATTCATGCATTAGTTCATTTCCTAGCAATAACGCTCTTTCCTCATTGTACTTTAAATAAGTCAAAGAGTTAAAGTGACCTCAAATTATGGATATCACTGACCTTCTACTAACCTTCTAAAAAGCATAACCATGAGTTCATTTCATGCAAGTTGTTTTTTGCTTATTCTGTTTGTTTATATTGCACGAGCATGAGTTGAAACATATATATATATATCTATCAAATGGGTGAATTTTCGAAGCCTTTTTTGTAGCCTTTCATTTCTTTAATTTCACTTAAACAAATTTTCCTTTTCCAAAAAATTGTCCAGGCCTTTATCAATCCTTTATTTGCAAATTTCATCGATTGTACCTTTTAGTTTGGTCATTTTAATAAAGCAAATCTTGTTCGGTTATTCGTATTGTGCCACATGATGATTTTTTATCTGCATTTCCATCCAAATTTGGTGGATTAAATTAGAAATCACTACGCTCAGTCCACCTCTCTCCCCCCCCCCTCTTTCTCTCTCTTTCAACTCCCTCCGAGGTATCATGTCGACCCGTTTGATGCCATCCACTTAACCCGAATAGAATCTGCTTTGCCTCATCTGACATAAAAACCCAAACCTCGTTTTCCTCGTTATTTTAGTGTCCGATGACTGTGAATTCATGGGCTGCGAATGTAAGCATGCGCACATATCAATCGCTGATCTTTACCGCTCCGCTTTAAATCATTGATCTTCTAATCCCTCTCTCGCGTAGAGTTTGCACACACTGTAACCAGCTTATTAATCACTGATTAATTTAATTCACTTTCACAGTAATTATTTTTTTCTGTTACAATTCCTGCGCTACCTCTTAATTGCACCTTTTTTATCCTGTGTTTCAGCTCTCGAAGTTGAGGTGAAGAAACTAGTGGCTGAAAATCAGGACTTGACTGAAATGAAGCAAGTTTTTTTTTCTTTTCATTTCATTTTTGTGTGCTTGTTTTCATTGCCAGAAAACTACTACACTAGGGTAGTTTCCTTCATGATGATATTGTTCTTCAAGGTTACTCATTGCTACTTACTACTGGTAATGGTTGGTTGTGTGGTTGTTACATCTCCTATCTTGGCATGCCCATATATCTATATGCCAGGAATGAAATGGCAGTGAATTGACTACAAATATTATTATTATATCAAATGGCAGGCGTCTCGATGGTTATCATTAGCCCTTTAGTTGACTTTAGGCTTCACAGAGAGAAAGGTACATCAAATTGAAAAAAGTCGAGAGGGGAGAAGGAACAGTTTCCTTACGATCTCTTCAGAGTCTGTGTTTGAATGGTTATTTACTTGTGAAGTGCTAGGAAGATGGAACACTGCTTTTTTTTACCGTGTATTGGAAGTACAATATTAGTACGTCATTAACGAATCGTTTCCATTCTATTACGGCATGGCGGGGCCAACAGCCAGTTTTACTGTCCAGTTTGGGATAGTTTTATCCAAAGAAACCTAAGTTAGCTGTTTATGCATACAAGTATTTTAGAAGGTTATAAACCTGGAGAGGTGACTTTATAGAAGGATTTCTGCAGGAATAAGTCCTTGTTATACCTGGTTACTCTCTTAGTATTAACAGTTCCCCCTTAATAATCAGGGGAAATGTGAGAATTGAGGGAGGCCAGAATATATTGAGTGAATGCGTTTATTGCAAATGCCTAATGTACAAATTCATTTACTTATTTATATCAAATGGCAGGCGCTTTGATAGTTATCATTAGCCCTTTAGTTGACTTCGGGCTTCACAGTTGGGGGAGGATCATCAAAGTCACAAAAAGTCGGTGGGGGGGGGGGGGGGGCNGGGCAGAAGAGTGATTTATGAGTGTTAAAGAGACAGACACAAAGGCAGAGAAAAAGGTGAGGTGGTAACTGGTGAAATATGACATACAGTGGGGTAATAGTAGTTTGAAGTCAACTGTCGGTTTATAGACTTTTTGCCGCAATAGTATACGTTGCCAGTGTGGACCACGTGGAGGTAAGTCTTTCGAGTACCCCATGTACAAAATCATTGTGAATGCTGAAAAACATGATCAGTAATGGTTTATCTTTACCGCTACTTTAACTTAACGTTTTGGCTCTTGTCGGCTGAGAATACTTCTACAAGCACGTGTGGAATTTGCACTAAGTTCTAGTACTCACGAGGTTCCTTCAAATAGCCTTGGCAGTGTTGCCGATTTTAAAGACACTGTAGTTTTTNGGGGTGGGCAGAAGAGTGATTTATGAGTGTTAAAGAGACAGACACAAAGGCAGAGAAAAAGGTGAGGTGGTAACTGGTGAAATATGACATACAGTGGGGTAATAGTAGTTTGAAGTCAACTGTCGGTTTATAGACTTTTTGCCGCAATAGTATACGTTGCCAGTGTGGACCACGTGGAGGTAAGTCTTTCGAGTACCCCATGTACAAAATCATTGTGAATGCTGAAAAACATGATCAGTAATGGTTTATCTTTACCGCTACTTTAACTTAACGTTTTGGCTCTTGTCGGCTGAGAATACTTCTACAAGCACGTGTGGAATTTGCACTAAGTTCTAGTACTCACGAGGTTCCTTCAAATAGCCTTGGCAGTGTTGCCGATTTTAAAGACACTGTAGTTTTTTTTGGGGGGGGGGGAGAGGGACCATTTCTTTAGCTTCATTACTACGTGGTGCAGTAATCGATAAATTCATTGACCAATTAACGAAATTCCTGTGAATTTTACTCATTTAATGCTTCCTCGTATCAGTCCACAAGCTTGGTCATTTCGAGTGGTATTGAAAGAAAAGAATTCACCATGAGGCACCGTGTGTTGGCGGATATGGCAGATATCCCTTTGAGTATTGTGTGAATGGTACTTCAGTTGAAATGAAAATGTTGTGAGCTCTAAAATTTTGGCATTTCAATTTCCCGGAGGGGGGGGGGGAAGGCAAACAGTACTTGACTTATTTCCTTCAAGCAAAAAACAGCACCAATCAGTTGGATACTGCGCTACTGTGGGGACTAACACAGCCGGACTTTTACAAGCATCATGATTGTCTTTACTTATTGAAATCGATTGGAATCTCGGCACAACCAGTAGAGCTGTTGAGTAAACACGGACGCGTGAATAAATTCTCAATTACTTACGCAAAAGTAATGCAAAAAAGGATTATATAAGACGTAGAACGTCTGAGATATTAATAATGGAATTCACTGTGTGAATATTTTTAGAATGATAGCCTAAAGTGGGTCCTTTGAAATGTCGCGCACACTTTAATTTAACCGACTTCTTTATTTCTTCTCCTCTAAATCTTCTATCTAATTGCAAGAAGCGCGTGTACTCTTGTAGATCTTCATTAATTACTTGAAAAATTGTTTTTTTTTCCGTAAAATGTCAGCTCGAGAGTGCTTAACTATAATCCGTTTTCGAAAAGCTTTCTCCTAAACTTTGTTAATTTATTTTAAAGATATCTTCAGGGTTTTAAATGCGCTGGATTCGTGTCATATTTCCCATGTCATGTGAGTAGTGAAGAAAGAAGAGAGAGACAAACGTATCTTCTGAAATGATGTTTGCCACTTTTGAGTACTCAAAACATCAAATCACTGTTAGTCTTTTGCCGCCAATTTAAAAGCCAAGGCTCCTAGCCGCTGTTGTGCAGAGGATTGTAGAGTCACCAAAGTGTGGCAGTAAATAAGAGACACGGCAGTTCTAAAAAGTGGAATACCAATAGTCGTGGTGGCCGAGGTGTATTGAACAGACCATGCTAAGGACTCTAGGAGGTTGGGAAGAGAGGAGATGATGAGAGGGGAAGTAGGTGTCTGTGAGAAGGCGTACAAATACAAGGTCATACGTGAGCATGGACGTGTATGAGAGTACATGTGTTGTGTATGATAAAGTTATACGGGATAATTAGTGAAAAAAGGGGATTCAATGACAGGCAGGGGGTTTGATTAATCTAGTCTTAATCCCATCACTACTACTGCGGGGACAAAAAACCCAGGCATTGTCAATGGTTCTACAATAATAAAACAATTATTGAAAATCCTTCAATCTACTATCATAGTAGTGATGAATGTGGGAAATATCGCACACTTCCTAATTGATTCCTTCTTCTGTGGTATGGTTATTATCTTGATGGCGTACTAAAATGATTCTCGCAACCTTTTGACCCCCTTAGCTTGAGCTTTCGTCCATTCTTGGAATTATTGAAAGAAAGGTGAGCTTAGTCAGTGATGATGGGAATAGCTGGCCGTGAGAATCCCGATTAATTCGTAATTTATTTTCACAAGCTTTGGGGTATGCGATGGACTTACCTCCACATGGTGCTACCTGGACAACGTATACCCATACGGCAAGAAAGTCAACAAAACGGCAGTTGACTTCTGACTTCAAACTACTATGGCCCAACTGTATGTCATATTCGACCCCTTCCGCAGTACTCACCCCACCTATTCTCCTTACCTTTGTGTCTGTCTATCTCATTTACATCCTTGAATCAATTTTATGTTTCCCCTCTCGATTTTTTTCTAACTTTGATGCTCCCTCCTGGGGTGTGCGATAGACTTACCTCCACGTGGTGAACCCTGGGCAACGTATACTCATACGGCAAAAATGTCTATTAACCGGCAGTTGACTTCTGACTTCAAACTACCCCCACTGTATGCCATATTCGGCCCATTTCGGAGTACTCATC